AAGCTGGAAGGGTCTACAGCCACCCCAGAGTGTTGGCTAAGGGCAAGATGCTCACTCAGAGAACAAATGTGCGAATTGAGCGCATTAAGGCTCTAAGAGCAGAGAGAGCTCCCTGAGACTCTGGAATGGACATGATCAGAGAAAGGAAGCCAAGGAGACAAGTCCCTGGGATCTGGTGACAGCCGCCCTGCCGCTGCCAGAGAAGCACATGGGGAGAAGCCGTGGAAGGAGCCTGAGCTGCTGGAACTTATTCCCTATGAAGTCAGGGCATCCTATCCCACAGCCTAGTGGTCAAGGGAAGCCAGATTCCACATGACCGTACTACAGTTGGGGTTCAGGCCTCAGTGGTTTGAAACTACACTGAGTGTGTGTGCAGGAGCCTGAAATACTGACAGTGGAGAAATGGAGGGGATTACACTGAGACCATGCCCTGTGGGAGGGTGCTGTCCTCCTTCTCTCCTTCCCCTCTGTGTCTTTTGGCAAGCACTCACGACCTCTGGGAATTAAGAAAAAAAAAAAGAAAGAAAAAGTCACTAGTGTAAAAAAGTAAAGGACCCCTGAACTATTTTTAAAAAGGTGGGGGGGAAGGCTGCCTCAGCAATTCTCACATTTCACCGACGTTGGAATCATCTGGAGTTAGGTTAGACTGCAGAGCCGTCCTCACAGATTCTAATGTAGGAGGGCCGGGCGAGGACGGTAAGGAGTGCATAGCAGGAGGGGCGGTTTTTGGTAGAGACGCCAGAGCCCACCTCTGGACCTGAATCCTGACTCAGAGTAGCTACATGCAATGTGGCCAATGACGAAATACATTTTTTTTTTGGAAAGGTTTTTGCTATAGGGTGCGTGTGCTCGCCAGAGACAGAGAGACAGAAAGAGAGAAATCACCCCCCCCCCCAGGGGGATGGCCACGCCACAATTCCTTCTCCTCCATTCTCCTCTCGGGATCTTGGGCATGCACGCACACGCACCTGGCGTGAGTTTTAAGCCACCGGGTCTGGGACTCGAACCACGGTGGACTACATGGGAGTCCAGCAACATAGCCATTACGTTAACTGCTGGTCCCACGAAATACATTTTTTGAGATGAACTGAATCAAAAACCCAGAGTGAGAAATAGAATCTATCATACCTCTTCACAGGTATAATCTAGACAGTCAATGCCACTATTCAGGGCACTGCCAGTTTTGCCCAGTAATGGAGGGGACGACTGTGGGCCTGGCCCAGGTTACGCCTCCCATACCAGCCAGCCATTTAGACCGCAGCACCCGGTTCCGGGAAAGAGGAGCAGGCCCTCCATGTGTTCTCGCGGTCTCTCAGAAACCAGAGAGGGGCCAGTAGGTGGCATGGTGATTGGGGTGCCGGACTCCTACATGGCTGACCATGGTTTGAGTTCCAGACCTGGTAGCTTGCTTGCTCGCTCTCTCTCTCTCTCTCTCTCTCTCATAAGTGCATATGCCCTGTAGCAAATTAAATAATAATGATGATAAATAAAATAATCGATTCTTAAGGAAAAAAAAAGAACGAGATCATGGAGGTGTTCTGGGCACACACTCACACAGCTACCCGAAAGGTGAACTACAGACAGCAAGGGAATAGGAGCTGTTCAGAGGAATGCCCGCAGATGCCCCCAGGCAAAGCTGGAAGGGTCTACAGCCACCCCAGAGTGTTGGCTAAGGGCAAGATGCTCACTCAGAGAACAAATGTGCGAATTGAGCGCATTAAGGCTCTAAGAGCAGAGAGAGCTCCCTGAGACTCTGGAATGGACATGATCAGAGAAAGGAAGCCAAGGAGACAAGTCCCTGGGATCTGGTGACAGCCGCCCTGCCGCTGCCAGAGAAGCACATGGGGAGAAGCCGTGGAAGGAGCCTGAGCTGCTGGAACTTATTCCCTATGAAGTCAGGGCATCCTATCCCACAGCCTAGTGGTCAAGGGAAGCCAGATTCCACATGACCGTACTACAGTTGGGGTTCAGGCCTCAGTGGTTTGAAACTACACTGAGTGTGTGTGCAGGAGCCTGAAATACTGACAGTGGAGAAATGGAGGGGATTACACTGAGACCATGCCCTGTGGGAGGGTGCTGTCCTCCTTCTCTCCTTCCCCTCTGTGTCTTTTGGCAAGCACTCACGACCTCTGGGAATTAAGAAAAAAAAAAAGAAAGAAAAAGTCACTAGTGTAATACAGTAAAAGACCCCTGAACTATTTTTAAAAAGGTGGGGGGGAAGGCTGCCTCAGCAATTCTCACATTTCACCGACGTTGGAATCATCTGGAGTTAGGTTAGACTGCAGAGCCGTCCTCACAGATTCTAATGTAGGAGGGCCGGGCGAGGACGGTAAGGAGTGCATAGCAGGAGGGGCGGTTTTTGGTAGAGACGCCAGAGCCCACCTCTTGACCTGAATCCTGACTCAGAGTAGCTACATGCAATGTGGCCAATGACGAAATACATTTTTTTTTTGGAAAGGTTTTTGCTATAGGGTGCGTGTGCTCGCCAGAGACAGAGAGACAGAAAGAGAGAAATCACCCCCCCCCCCAGGGGGATGGCCACGCCACAATTCCTTCTCCTCCATTCTCCTCTCGGGATCTTGGGCATGCACGCACACGCACCTGGCGTGAGTTTTAAGCCACCGGGTCTGGGACTCGAACCACGGTGGACTACATGGGAGTCCAGCAACATAGCCATTACGTTAACTGCTGGTCCCACGAAATACATTTTTTGAGATGAACTGAATCAAAAACCCAGAGTGAGAAATAGAATCTATCATACCTCTTCACAGGTATAATCTAGACAGTCAATGCCACTATTCAGGGCACTGCCAGTTTTGCCCAGTAATGGAGGGGACGACTGTGGGCCTGGCCCAGGTTACGCCTCCCATACCAGCCAGCCATTTAGACCGCAGCACCCGGTTCCCGACCTTGTTTCCCAACCTGGACTCAGCTCTGCACTGCCAGCCTCCATGTCAGCCTCTGCCCCTCCTGACGGGAGCCCATCGTGACCGCAGCTCCAACTGGGCCCTCTCAACCAGGGCCCCTCCAGTGGACTAGCCCCGCTCTAGGATCATGCTGGAGAAGACGCCCTGCCTCAGCGAGCTGGAGACTGACAAGCTCAGGGTTCTGCCTGACCCTTCAGGGGAAGCCGCGTCCTGGTCCCGCCCACGCTCCTGTTAGTCCACTCCGCTGCTCTAGCTGCTCTACGTCTGCGCTCGGAAGATCGCTTTCTTTGTGGGTCTCTTCCCAGTTGTGTCCCGGCAGGTAATGGGACACTTTGGGCCAGAACGTGGACTCGGAGCACTGTCTGTGTCACATCATTAACACCTCACCCACTCGCCATTGCTCTCTGGGCGATCGCTAATCCTGCATAAATGGTTACACCTGAGCATTTTGAAAATTAGAAATGAGCTCCTCCCCTCCCCCCCATTTCTTTCTTTTTCTTTTTCTTTTTTTTTTTTTTTTTGAGAGATTTTCACCGTAGGGCGCGTGCGCTCGCCAGACAGAGAGAGACAGAGAAACAGAAAGCAAGAAATCACCCCCCAGGGGGGATAGTCACGCTGCAATCCCTTCTCCTCCATTCTCCTCTCGGGATCTTGGGCACTCATGTACAGGCGCCCGGCATGAGTTTGAGCTACTGGGTCCGGGACTCGAACCATGGTCGACTACGTGGGAGTCCAGAGACATAGCCATTACGCTAACTGCTGGTTTCCCCCCACACACACCCCCCATTTCTTTCTTTTTAAATCTGTCACAGGAGACATGGGCTTGCTGGAGATGAACAGAGAGGAAGAGAGACAGGAAAGAGAGAAAGTATCCCTCCTGGGGAAGGGTCACACCACAACTCCTTCTCTTCCATTTCTCCCAGCTTTTAGGATTCGGGGCACCTGCGAAACACACCAGGTGTGTTTCCCAATCTGCCAGGTCCGGTACTCAAACCAGGCAGTTGGCCCTGTGGGATCCAGCCACCTTACCGACCACGCCACTGGCTAGTCCAGCTCCCTCCTTTAAATGATTATAATCTCCATTTTATAGACAAGAAAACTAAGACAGTGAAGTTAAGGAAACGCCCAAGGCCATGCAGCTGGGAGAGGGTAAGGCAGGCAAACTTGGTATAGTTACTGCTGAGCTTCGTAAGTGGTTTCCGATTCTGTTTTGGGTGGTGGGACCACCTTTATTGCTTTCTATTCTCACCGACATAACCCCTCTCTGTGTACAGAGCCGCGGTCCACTCTTTAGGACAGACCAAACGCAGGGGATGGAACCCTTGTCCTGGCCGACAGTCCTCTGGCCCCGAAGGGCCCCACCTCCCATGCCATGGATAGGACCGCAGGGAGACACCGCCCAAGCACTGGGCACGGGATATTCTCTAGGTGTTTGGGATTGGGACATCAAAGGGCGAAGGCAGTCGGAGGGCAGGACATTCAGCTCACATAGACTTGGGACGGAGAGGTGGCTTACCAAGCCGGGGTGACGTGAGAAGCCAGGGCAGGTCTTCCGGGGTAGCATCGTGCATTGGGTGAACACCCAGCTGTGCAAGCAGGCTGCCTGGTTCGAACCATGGTGCTCCCACTTATCTGGGTGTAGGATTTGTCTGGGGCCAGTTGCTTAACTTTAGGTGACTCAGTCTCCTCATCTCATCCCCGTTTCCTCACCCACCATCACAGGATGGCTGGAATAAATAGTTTTTAACTCAACCATTGCAGTTGTGGAAATGAAGTGCCAGGAAGGGCCAGTAGCGTTAGTCCAGGGGTGAGAGGGCAGCAGAGAGGCCCTGCAGCCCCAGCACTGCGCAGGGAGCCACTCCCGATGGTGGCCCGGTCCCCAGAAGGCCTGCCAGCACTAACACCTTAATTCAGCCGTCAGAGGGTTCCCACATGCAGCCCAGAGCAGCATTGCCTATGGCGTCTCATCTAATGAAGCTTTCGCTTCACAGCAAAAGACTTCTGTTTAAAAATCAGACACCACATTTATTTGGAAATTTTATTATTTTTATTGCAAATTTCTGGAAAAGGAAAGAACACAGAAGCTGATTCTCATTTAGCCTTTGGTGAGAAGAGTCCTGCGCGGTAACTCGGGGCTGGGAGGGCCGCACGCTGTGACTCCTGGGGTCCCTGGCCTCCTGGCGATGCTGGCTGCGTTGCTCTGGGGTGGGCGTGCTCAGAGACAACAGTTTTAAACATCCCCCGCCCCCAGCCCCACTCATGACAGGGGCTTGGCGAGGTCAGAAGCCCCTGCGAAATTCACTGACAGCCCAGTGTCACCCGCTTATGTCACCCCGCCGGATCCCAGCTGCCACCCCCACCCCTTCTTCCCTGGTGTCAGATGTGCTGATTCTTCCTCCTCAGAGACCCCAGGGGAGAGGGACAGTGAAGGAGTGTGGCTCCGCGCTGTGGCTTGTGCTTAAAGAACGGTGGACCCCAAACACTCAGGTTATTCTGTCACAGAAAGAAACTCACTCGCTGACAGCAGGGAGCGCTCGCCCTTCTCCTCTTTAAGTGGAAATAGTCCTCCTCTACAGCAGCGAAAAGATTGGTGACAAAAAAGGGGACCAGATGTTGGATGACAGGTTCCTTAGATGATCTCTGACGTCCAAATTCAAAAGAAATAAAAATGTCAAGCCATTGCAAGTCAGATGATGTATTTCAGCAGCATATTTTAATGGGTGAACAGTAATAGCCAGTTAGATACTTCATTGACGATTTATCCTAAAAATAGAAAATGCTTTTATTTTCCTGAGTCCTTGGCAAACAAACGAAAAGAAGGTGTGCGTGTGTTTAACTTGGGAAGGGTTCCTTTCTTCTTCTCTCCGGGGCTCCCTCAGTTTACAGCGGTGTGGCTCACCCCTGTTTTCACACACAGGTAAACGTGCTGATTTTCACCGACTCACCCACGGGGACGACGGCAGATCAAATACCCATCTTCTGCAAAGTTGCGTAAGAGGAAGGTTTCTAGACGGTGTTAGAAACACAATATCGATTTGATTCTTTGTCCATACAAAAGTATGAATTTCTGGTCCATGGGTAATACTGAATGGTTCGTGTCTTAACGGTGACAAAATTTTCAGAACATTTAAAAAATACATAGGATCCCGTTTTTTTTTTAACGTCGTAATTCTGGTGTATTATCATGCCTTCTGTTGAGTCCGCAAAACACTTGATAGAGTACAGTGCATTGACATGATAAAACCAAGGCACAGGAAGACAGTTACGTTACGTGTACACAAACCTAGCACTTCTGTGCCAATCTGGGAGACATTTGGAGAGATCGTTACGTCTGAAAAATCCTCACATTCTTTTGCGAGTAACGAACGACGAATTATGCAGTCAGCAGACTACCCGTCGCCGTTCCATGATTAAAGTATATGGCTGTCTCTATACTGGTTGTGGAGAATTAAAACATAGTTTTAAATATTAAAACCCAGCATTACCTAAGTGGTTGATGTAGATATTGTGTCTTGCATTATCTAAAGAAGTATCTTAAGTTTTCATTTAATTTGCATCAGTATGGCAGTTACCAGTTTTGAAACTCTTCATGACATATATGGTGGGGGATTTTTTCCAAGCATTCAATCCCTCTCCCCTAGGGGGAAACAACGGATTTACAAGAAGATAACCAATATAAGAAATGCACAGACAACAGGGATAAAATCCAGGGACGGACTCAAAGGCTGACTTCTAATCTACTGGGACATTCTCTTAGTTTAGGGTGCGTAGCAACACATTCCTGTGACAACTCGTTAGTTTCTTAATTAAAAAAAAAAAATCACCATGACATTTTCTAAAAGAGTAAACTGTCTGGGCTAGAGCATCAAGCACTGGGGAAAAGTTGTTCAGTCTTTTCATTCATCAAATGAAGGAAATAAAAGCCGTTCAAAATTCAGGGGGCAGGGGGTGCCATTGAATTTAGAGGAATGAAAGAAAGTGGTAAAAATTGCATCGAGTACTTTTAAAGAAAGGATGTTTTCAAGACTCAAGGTAAACGTTTAGACCCATGAAAACACGTTTCTTGGCACATGCACGCCAGAGAGGAAACCACCCTGAACGCAGCGATGGCCTGGCTACAGAAGGCAAACCCTGTCCCAGATCCTTGTCCCAACTGCCTTCACATGGGGGCTTCCGGCTTCTGCATCTGCTGGATTTGCTTCTGGAGATGGTCCTTGTCCAGTTTCATCCTGGCCTCGAGCACTTGCCTGAGAGAGCCGATGCTTTCATAGATGGCTGTAAACCCTTTAAGAAAAGGCAAAGTTCACAAGAGTTACTATTCAAAAAGCGATGCCATGGGACCAGCAGTTGGCATAACGGCTGTGTCGCTGGACTCCCACGTAATTGACCATGGTTTGAGTCCCAGACCTGGTGGCTTAAAACTCACGCCGGGCACATGTGCGTGTGTGTGCAAGATCCCGAGAGGAGAATGGAGGAAAAGGGATTGTGGCGTGGCCATCCCCCCTGGGGGGGTGATTTCTCACTTTCTGTCTCTCTGTCTCTCTCTGACTTTCTGGCGAGTGCACGCATCCTTATAGCAAAAGCCTCTCCAAAAAAAAAAAAAAAAAACCTAAAAAAAAAAAAGAAAAAAACTCCCTAAAAGAAAAACCCCTCCAAAAAAAAAAAAAAAACCTAAAAAAAAAAAAGTGATGCCACACCACACCTTCTAGCATGTATTAATAGTTTATTCTGATGAAAATTGTCAATAGATGCTAAAATTTGGGATAAAAGTTCAATGGGTGACAGGAAAGCTACATAGTTTCTGTATCTCCCTAGAGATTGCTTTCTCACTATAAAAAAGGAAAATGAATCACTACAATGAAGAATCTGGCGGCTAGCACTGTAACAAAGAAATCTGCTTTTGCCCACTTCCTTCCTCTGGATATGACTTAGGTTGTTCATTTCAGACAGAAATGCCAAGCGAGGTTGTTTCTTGTCCATGTTATCTTTATTATTATTATTTTGTAATTTTCCAGAGGGTACGTATGCTCACTGAGAAAGACAGAAGGGAAGCAAGAAAGCACCCCCCAATGGGGGCCTGGCCACGCCACATCCTCCTCCATCTCTCCCTCCATTCAGGGTTTTGGGCATGCACACGTGTCCGGGGTGGTTTCAGGGCATGGATCCAGGACTCATATGGTGTGGATGGCCATGTGGAATCCCGTGGCCTTCACCACACAGCTGGTTGGCCCCAAAATTCATTTTGATCTTTACAAGGTCTTCGATTTATGAAGTTAATTGTAGCTTCTTCTTAAGTAAAATAACATGGATTTGGTGATTACAACCGAATGATTCTTAGTTCAGTTAGCTACTTGTATTTTCCACAAGGCTAAAACATAACAGTTCTGCAGAAGAAAATCCATGGAATGACAGAATTGGGAGGAGCTGGGAGATAATCAAGTCCCACTTCTCAGGTGACAAGGCGTCTCCCTCCTGGCAACGACCAACGCCCTCCACCTGAACCCGCTCCCAGAGTCACCAGAGCCTTTAGGACCCTCACAGGGTAAGGTCTGCCTTACACTAGGTAAAAATCTGCCTTTGAGTAACTTGGACTGATTGTTAAGAGTGTAATTTGTACCCCTCCTTTAGATGACAGCACTTTGGGGGCTCGAAATCGACTTGAAACTTCCCCTCTAAACAACTGTGAACTCTCGGGCTGCACTGACTTCCGAGTGGAGAGGGATTGGTCCCGCCAGGGCGGCACACTGCCAGCAGTATAGACAGAGCCCTCGAAATTCCCTCAGAGGTATAGCTTATTTCTAAGACACCCTGACCTTGCTGTAAACACACAGCCGCGGCAGGGGGCGCTAAGGAGGATGTGCCTCATTTGCACCCGAAGCAATTTTAGTTTCCTTTGCCTCTTCCTCATGGTGGCTCCTCCTATACTTGTAATTCTAACACCATCTTCACTCAGTACGTTGCTGCTATTCAGAAAACCCACTGAGGAGGGAACAACAGATGACATAATGACAGTTACATTGCTGGACTCCCATGTAGTTGGCCGTGGTTCGAGTCCTGGACCCAGTGGCTTGAACCTCATACTGGGTGCATGTACATGCGGGCCTAAAATCCTGAGAGGAGAAAGGAGGAGAAGGGATTACGACGTGGCCATCCCTCCTGGGAAGTGATCTCTCATTTCCTGTCTCTCTGTCTCTTTGGCGAGCACATGCTACCTATAGCAAAAATCTCTCTAAAAAAGAAAAAAAAAAGAAAGAAAAGAAAACCAACTGAGGACACTTTGCTGCAACTGCCACGAGCCAGGTTCACAGGGAGCAGTGGGGGGTGCTAAGGAACAGACTCAGATCACACGGGAGACCCGCGCTCCTGGCTGGGGGCCTACCGGCATTGACTTCGGCCTTCATCTCCTTCATGTCCTCGCTCATCTGCAGCTCCAGCTTGCTGATGCGCCCGTGCACCTTCTCCTCGTCGTGCTTCACGCGCTGCCCGTCCACAGTCTTCCTCTGACTCTCCTCGATTTTGTCGAGTCTGGCTGACATCTGGCTGAGCTTCTTCTCCATCTCCCTCTCGCTGGCTCCCTGAGATCCGGGATGAGGACAGCACTCAGTTACTCCAGAAAGAACATGTGCATCGCACACACATCGGCCACAACGTCACTTAGCAGCAACCTGCCCGGAACTGAATCAGGACCACTGTTTCCTCCATCCCAGTATCCATTCTTTCTTCCTTAACAGACCCCCAGTTTTTGGCTCAGTACAAAGTCATGCAGAATACAGACAACATTTTCCACTTTCTCCCGAGTTTGGTGTGACCATGGGATGACGTTATGGTGAGATATAAGTGCAAGGACCTGTGGCAGCTTTGGGGAAAAGTTAAATGACAACTGATGTATATCCTGAAGTCTTCCTAATTCCCTTTGTTCTCGGAATTCAGATACAAAGGCTGGAGCTCTAGCAGCCACCTTGAATTATGAGGATGAGCACACTCTGGGATTTCTAGAAAGTTACACTAGAAGGATCTTGAGTCACTGAGGCCTGACAGGCCATCACTGCCTGGCCCACACTCAGACTTCTTTTATGTGAAGTAGAAAGAAGTTTCCGTTTTATTAAAGCCTCCATTATCCTGGAGGTTTACTGTTAGTTATTAAACAAATCCACATGTGAAAATAGTGATCTTGGTTCACATCTCGGGGTAAACGCTAGGTGGGCATGTGCATACCCATGATCTGAACAGTTAAGGCTGGGGATGGATTGCGGCCTAGGGGTCCTGTGGGGGACCTTCTCTTGCTCTCATTCAGAAGAGATAAATTAATAAACTTTTTAAAAAGTAGCAATCCAAAGACCCAGAAGAATACAGTGTGTTACTATGAATCTAAGTATATCTATCGGTAGGTCGATGGAAATATGGGAAAAAATGCAAAGAGAATATTTAGTACGTGCTTGATTTATGTGGGCATCGGTGTCTGCAGGGGAGCTTTGAAAGCAAGCTGCAGGTAGGCTACGGCTTGACAAAGCTCTCTCGATGCTGTGGGATGCAGCTCAACAGTCCACACTCAGAGAGGGCAGAGTTAGAGATGCCAGCCATGCCGGGCACTTCTGTTCACGGACACCCACCAGGAGGAAGCAGTGCAAAAACCAAGGAGGGAGAGGCATGTGGGCATGCTAAGTCGCCAAACCAGACAGATCTGCTCGCAAAGGCCCAGTCAGAGCCTGCTGGTTTGAATGTTAGACATGCAAGGCTTTCTTGCTCTGGTCTGTGAACAGTTCTGCACACCTGAGCTCAGTGAGAGGCTAGGGTAAAAGGAGGAGGAGAAGGGTGGAAAAGAAAGTGGTGAATGGAGAAGAACATTGTACAAATTGCAGTTACAGTGTAAGATGGTAGTGGGGGGGGAGGTCTGGGCAGAAAAATCTATTCAACATTAGGAAAAAGCAAAACCAGATCATGAAATTAAAAACCAGGATGAAGGGGGCCAGCAGGTAGTTAAGGTACTGGACTCCCATGTGGCCAACTGTGGTTTGAGCCCCAGACCTGGCAGCTTGAAAATCATGCCAGGCGCATGTGTGTGCATGCCCAAATCCTGAGAGGAGAATGGAGGGGAAGGGACTGTGGTGTGGCCATCCCCCATACGGAGTGATTTCTCACTTTCCCTATCTCTCTCTGTCTCTCTCCAATGAGCTCATGTGCCTTATGGCAAAACCCTAAAAAAAGGCGGATGAAGTTGGTAATCATCAGCTCTATTTCGAAATGTGAATGGACAATTTGGATCATTAAGGTCTCAAATTTATCTTAACAGCGTACTGGAATTTTCTACTTAACCTCTATGAACCCAAACAAGTCAAAGCTGCCCATCTCTTTTTATAAAGAATATAGACGACTAATAAAAATTATGTCTTGAAGGCTAGAAACAGGTGCACTGCTTTAGGAGGTACCAAATATGACTGATACATTACTAGGCATTCCCCAAACATTGCAGGCCCCCAAGCAACTCTACTAATCATCCCTGAACGTCAATACCTACACTGTGTTCCTTAACGACCAAGGAAAGCTGATCGATTTTCTGCAAAAGCTCTTTTTCTATCCGTTCCTGTTCTTGTTGCAACCAACTCCGTGCAGATAAAATCTGGTTGCTGAGTTCCTCAACTGTACCTTTAAATCTAAAAAGGAAAATTAGCAAGTTAGATTTAAAACCATCTGTAAATGACATCAAAGAACCTCAGTCTCTGACTATCAGATTTCTTCTCAGCCAGAGTAGCACTGCCATTGCTTAGGCCTGCGCTTAGGGCTAAGTTGAGGAGGGAGGATGTTATAGAAAATCACCCGTTGATGCTCCCTGCCCACAAGGAGCTGGCAGGTCAGCACTGAGATGACACACAGGGACGCCAATAAGGCCATCCATCCCCCAAGCCAGGGTAAGCCACAGAACACAGCCAGGAGACTAGGAGCCCCACGCGTCCTCCCCAGTCACCCGACTCTCCAAGAAGTAACCACTACCCGGAATTCACATCTATCATTATACTGTGCTGGTTTGGCTCTCCAAACAATGCATTGTTTTCAGTTACGGATATTTCAAAATTTTACATAAATAGGACAAAACTATAGCATGAGTTTTTTTCTTCCTTTTCACTTTTGCCATAGGGCATATGCAGTCATGGAGAGAGACAGAGGGAGAATGAGAAATCACCCCCCATGGGGACGGTCACATGACAAGCCCCTCCCCTCCATATCTCCTCCTGTCAGGGTTTTGGGCACACATGAACCCATGGCTAGTTTACTCTCCCAGCCACTGGGTCCAGGACTTGAACTGTGCAGTCAGCCATGAGAGATCCAGTCACCTTAACAACCATGCACTAGCTGGCCCACAGCATGAGTTTTCTTCAGCTTGTCTTTTCACTCGACATTATTTCAATGAGATTCCTCCACATGGATGTGTATAGCTATACCTAATCCATTTTAATTGTTGAGTAATATTCCATTTTAATGACCATACCACAGTCTACCCATTCTTCTGGTGATGGACATACCAGGGGACTGGAGGATGTTATGTTAAGTGAAATAAGCCAAGCACAGAAAGAAAAATACCATGTGGTCTCACTCACTTGTGGAAATTGAAAAAGGAAAAAAAAGACTTCACAGAAAGAATTGGGGCCAGCAGATGATGTGGTTAAGGCGGTGTATTCCTTCATGGCCAACCGTGGTTCAAGTCTCAGACCTGGTGGCTTGCTTACTCGCTTTCCCTTTCTCCCCCAACAATCAAATTTTACAATAATAATAATGATAATAATAGCAAATGAAATTAAATAAATAATTTTTGGGGAAAGGCTTTTGCTATAGGGTACGTGTGCTTGTCAGAAAGACAGAGGGAGACAGAGAGACAGAAAGTGAGAAATCACCCCCCAGGGGGGATGGCCATGTCACAATCCCTTCTCCTTCCTGGGATCTTAGGCACGCATGCCCAGGCCCCCGGCATGAGTTTAAGCCACCAGGTTCAGACCTCGAACCGTGGTCGACTACGTGGGAATCCAGCCACATAGCCATTACGCCAACTGCTGGTCCCCAAATAAATAAAATTTAAAAAGAGAGTTAAAGATGGGGAGGATGAGGCGATACAGTGATGCTGAATAGAAACAAAACGATAGAAGGAACAATGTCTAGTGTTATAAAGTATAGCAGCGTGATTTTAATGAGTGAGTTACTGTATATTTCAGAGTAACTAAAAAAGAGGATGTGAATGTGCCCAACACAAAGCAAATAGCGGAGACAATGGGTATACTAACCACCCTGATTTAATCATTACACATTGTATTCTTTTTTAAAAACGAATTATTTTATTTAACTTTATTTATTTATTTATTTTAATTTGATCGGAGAGGGACAAAGTGAGAGAGAGAGGGAAAGTGAGAAAGCAAGCTGCCAGGTCTGGGACTCAAACCATGGTCAGCCATGTGGGAGTCCAGAGCCCTTAACTACCATGCCACTGGCCAGCCCCTACACATTGTATTTATTTATTTTTGGGAGAGGTTTTTGCTATAGGGCATGTGCGCTCACCAAAAAGACAGAGAGAGACAGAGAGACAGAAAGCAAGAAATCACCCCTTGGGGGAATGGCCATGTCTCAATCCCTTCTCCTTTTGGGATCTTGGACACACACACACACACCCCGCATGCGTTTAAGCCACCGGGTCCGAGGCTCGAACCGTGGTCGACTACATGGAAGTCCAGCAACATACCCATTACACCAGCTGCTGTTCTCATATTGCATTCTTTTTTTAAATTATAATTTTAAAAATTTTATTTATTCATTCATTTATTTTAACTTGACCATAGAGAGACACAGAGAGAAAGAGAGAAGGAAAGTGAGAAAGGAAGCCGCCAGGTCGGGATTCGAACTGTGATCGGCCATGTGGGAGTGTCCAGCGCCTTAACCACCACGCCACCTGCTGGTCCCCCCTACATTGTATTCTTATACTTAAAAAACCCATTGTGTCCCCAAATATGTACAGTTATTATATGTCAATAAAAACACATTTTTAACAGTTCATGGAAGATGCGTATTATGGAAAACTATACACAAATTTCAATGTTTTTAAACCTCTACTCTAATTCCATTTTTGACAAGCTTTTGAAATCCCTTCATATATTTTGATTTGCTTTTATGCATGTCATTACTAAAAACAATGCTGTTATGAAAGTACTGACATACGTACTTCGCATATGCAATCGTTTCTCTAGGGCACAGGCACAAGCGACTTTACCAGAGAGCAGCAGATTCTCTCCCCAAGCACTCGCGCTGCTTCACCTTAATCAGAATAAGGAAGCACTGTTCACATCGCTCCCACAGGTCTGGTGTGAACTTTTGGCCTTTGAACTTTTTACATCTGGAAATAATACCCTTTTGGCTTTTAGAGTAGAAATTGTTGTTCAATGATTTCATTGTATTTATTATTATTATTATTATTACTATTTGTTTTTAATTTGCTATAGGGCACATGTGTTCACCAGAGAGTGAGAAAACAAGCCGTCAGGTCTGGGACTTGAACCAAGGTCGGTCATGTGGGAATCCGGTGTCCTAACCACTATGCTACCTCCTGGCCCCAGAACAGAAATTTTAACATACATATTTAATTTAACAAACTTTAAGGTTATATAATATCTACCATTTGAATGTGAAGATCTCCTAGTACACTAATTTCAGAAATCTCCCCCTTATGCTACCAACATTGTAGTTCTATAATGTTTTTATATGCCATGAATTAAATTTTAATATTGTTTGTTTGGATTTTTCCAATGTTCGTCATATATATATATATATATATATATATAGCCAGAGGGTGTGTGTGCTTGCCAGAGAGGAGGAAAGGGGGAAGCACCCCCAGATGGGGTGTGATCACATCCCAATCCCCTCCCCTCCATTCCTCTCTCCTGTTGGGATTTCCGCACACGTGCCCAGCATATTCATCAAGCCAGCATTTGTGGGAGTGGTATAACTCGAACCATGGTCGGCCATGTGGGATCCAGCTTCTCTTAACCACCAGGCTACAGGATCAGCCCCATATTTTTCACTCATCATTCCTTCTTCTATTTCACACCTTCCTTTCATATTATTTTCTTCTCCTTGAAGTCTAATTTCTAAAAATCCCTTGAGTGACATTTTATGGGTAAGCTTTCAGGCCCCTTCATCTGAATTATCTTTCTTTCATCGGGGGTTGATGATCATTGTGTCTCAGCAGAGATACACCTGTCCTTCAAAGTACCCAACGTCATGAGTAACAACATGGGAAGCTACTAGTTGATGAATGGCCATCGACTCCCTGGACTGTAAACTCCGTAAAGATAAAAACAGAATTTGTTTTTTGTTCATTCCTAGATCTTCAGCCCCTAGGTCAGTACCTATAGATATTTGATGACGGAATAAGTAATTATCCAACCACTAAAAACAATAATTACTAAGAAAAAGGGGCAGCATGCTCCATGGAAAATTTCCTTTCAACTTGCATGTATTGTTTTCACTTTGCGCCGTGAATAAAAACCAAGAGGAAAAAATCCACTATCGTACTGCATAAGGTCATAAAGAACTTCAACCACAAATGTGGTGTATAAATTGGTTACATACTTATTATCCAGAAGCTGAAGCTGATGGTTACTATCTCTGTGAGACATCTTCAGTTTGGTGCTCTGCTCTGATATGGACAAGTCCACTCTGTTCAAAAGCTGAGAAATCTGGAAAAGAAACTTGACTTATAAATATTACATATCACCTCTTTTTTTTTTCAGTTTTTTTGCCATACAGTGCATGCACTCGCTGGAGAGAGACAGGACCCCCTCCCCCCCCCCCCCCCCCCACGAGGGGGCGCCC